CACATATTAGAAACCATCCTGTGGACGATTTAACGTGAGCATAAGCATAAGATACACCAGTGGTGGTGGTGCAATTCATCGCCATACCTGCTGAGAGCACAAAACAGTTTTTAGTACAGTTGACAAAAGTTGCACACTCCATAGCTGGGGCTACATTAGTGACCTCCAAGGAAAGCATTTCTCTGTTCTTTATAGTTACCACTGGTCCCCAATTACAAATATCAGAGTAGGTCATTTTCTTTTTGATATGCTTAAACACAGTATAATTTATAAGGCTTTCCAAGGGAGTACAAACACAAGACAAAGTGAAAGTTTGTTCAACATAAGTTCCTCCTGCAAGACAAAAGTCAGAAATATTCAGAACATTTTTGCTAAATATAGCCAAATATTTTCATCCTGTTTGAAAGGAATAAGTTATTCATAACAAGGGGTTAAATAAGAGGTAAAGAAAAGGACATAAGTCATCATTTTCTAAAGATTACTTTCAGATCTTCTTCCAGTGCTTTCTTTATTCTGGTGTGATGAGTCCAAGGTTTTATTCCTGCCAGCTTCACCATGGTGGGGGTGGTGAGGAGTATGTCCCAAGGTCCAGTCTACTTTTCTTCCACTTGGCTTTCTTGAGATGCTGTCATCCAAGTCTTGAGTAGCACCTTATCTGCAGGCTCAAAAGAATGCAGCAAACCTGTGGGGGAGAGGTCTCTGATACAGGCAAGGTCATTCATCACAGCTAAGGTCTGACTTAAATGTTGTACATTTTCTTTACCTTCACTTCTTGATCTATATATGTATCATGTCTCCCACCCCAATCATAGCCTGAAATGGTCACCTGTACACAATTTCATCAGGACTCAACTGAATCCCAGTTCGAAGAGCCACCCTTATAAAAGGTTTTCTTTTTAAATAGACCACATTTGTTTCTTTTTTATTAAGTTAGAAAGAAGAGTTCTAAATATTGGTATCAAGAAAATATTTTTGAAAGTAGATTTTTACATGAGGGAAATCTATGGAAAAATATCCATGTTAGCCAAATGTGCATAGTTACACAAGATATACATTCTGAAGTTGAATGAAACTTGTAAATCAGGAAATTGTAAGCGGAGTGTTTTCTTTATGGTTCTCTATCACAAGTAATTTCAATATTTTACATGAGTATAATTTTCTGTGTGCCTCAGAATGCTCTAACATTCTTGAAGATGCCTGTTAGGAAAAAATTCTCTAAGAAAACACTAAAAAAAACCCCATAATCCTCCACTATTATTTTTGAGATTTATCAATCACCAGACATTAAACTCAAGGATAGCTCTAGGAATAGAAATTCATCTAGCTAGATGGGTGTTTGAGGTAGAGGGAACAGTGGGTACACAAACAGGACATATTGGGCCATGCATTTAGGAAAAGGATTTCAGGATTTCCATTTTTGTTTTATATAGCATATGGATCATGAGGGAGGGGGAGAAGTAGAACTACAACTAGGGCTGAATAATACAGGACTTTGAATGTCCTGTTAAAGCTATTAGTCTTTATTCTCTATGCCATCAGGAGCAATTGAGTATGAACAGGAGTGTGATAGTCATTTATGGTTTTTAGTGTACCTTTGCCAAGCAATACTCTAGGCATCACAGTACATCCCTAAACCAAACAGATGACTATCCCTGTTCTCATGGAGCTCATGGACAAATAATGATAATAATAATAAATTATAGACTATGTTAAAATGTGATAAGTCCTAGTGAAATAAGGAAAAGTAGAGCACAGTAAGGCAGGTCAGGAGTGCACAGAGGAAGTGGGTGTTCCATGTAAATAGGATGGACAGAGTAGGCTTCACTGAGCAAAGACTCAAAAGGGGAAGTGATAATGGTGGAGTAAGCTGTATGGATAATGGAAAAGAGCATTCCAGGCAGAGGGAAGAGCTACCACCTATGGCTTATTGCCTTCCTGAGGAAAAGTGAGGTGTTTAGTGTGACTGGAGCAGAGTGGATGAAAGTGCCAGTAGTAGGAGGTGAAATCAGAAGGATATAGAGACTGTGGAGATAAATAGGACCCTGTTGGCCATTGTAAAGATTTTAACTTTTACTCACATTGAAAAGAGATAGTCATTGGAAAGCTTTGAGCAGAGGAGTGACATGATCTGATTTTGCTGTTAACAGTATCACTTTGGTCTGTTTAAAACTAACTGTAGGAAGATGAGGGTGGAAGCAGGGAGGCAGATTAGGAGGTTATTCCAGAAATCTAGGTGAGAGGTGTTGGTGCCTTGAACCAAATCTCTGCTTTAAGAAGAGGACTTCAGCAGTGAGAAAGGAATGGAAGCAGAGGTAACTATTAGGAGGCTCTTGCCTGCTGATTAGAATGTAACCCGAAATGGTTTGTGTGAGGATTAAGAGGGAACTTCAGAAAGCTTGACTACAGGAACTGAAGAAAAGGGAAGAGAGCAAGGGGACATGGGCATCTTAAGTCTGGATAAATGGAATGCAGATGTAACCATTAATAAATGTTACTCTCCTTTTTGAAAGTCTTTCCTGACCCTCTGAGGCATTTTGTCCACTTTGTGCTCATGTAGTGTTTCCACTGAGTTATGAATTGTATAATCACTTTTCCCTTCGGCCACACACCTAGAAATGGTCTGACTTTTAGAATTGTGGCAATATTAAGGAGTAATTAGGAAGGTAACATTTAAGAATTATGAAAGAATAGATAATCTAAATTAGCATATAGTTTGTATATGGAGAATAATTAATTAGCCGCTTGAAGAACATAAGGTATGTTGGTGAAATTGAGTTCAATAGATGTGTGAGATGTACTGGGGAAGGACTGTGGGTGCTAGGGGAATGTTCTTTGGGATTATGCTTTGACCCCCTAGGTAATGATGGCAAAAGGCAGGTACCCCAAAATGGGGTATCTGTGAATTTGAGATTACTATATACTGTTTCAATTCAGTAATTCAGTCTTAATATCCTAGAGTTTAATTATGCTCACAGAAAAGGTCATGTGTTGACTAAGTTTTAGTATAAAATAATAATTAGATCTGTGGTTCTCAGGCAAGTCACTTATTATCTTCAAACTGCAGTTTCATCATTTGTAAACTGAGAGGTTTTGACCAGGTAATCTCAAATTCCACTGAAATTTAATATTTCTAACTCCATAATGTGTGGTTAATATTAGGACAGAAATATATTAATTTAAAAAAGAGGACAAATTCAAGTCTATTTCCATAAGACAGGGTAAAAATGTAGCTAGCAATACTTTTTTTTCTTGTTTCTCTCCCCTATATTAAACTGTCAACATATACACAGTTGAGATACAGATTTAAAGCTTTTCAAACATATGTGTACCTTAAATTAGAGAATTGGAGCAAATCAAATCATATTTTTCCCTAATTTACATCCTCACTTTGAAGATATACATCTGATTCCAATCTTGAGTTTATAACCCTACCATAAGGGAAGAGAAGAAAAGCAGGAGTTGCTTGAAGAGCTGTAAAATCTATCTAATAATAATACTGGTGGACAGGTACATATCTGGATGGTAACAGGGTAATTGAGGCACTTTTGAGACTTTGACATTTTTGTACTCTGATTTCACATTATAAGAGATCATGAAGCTTGTCATTGTGTGTAAAACAGTTTTCAGTATCCCACGGGGAAAATTACAGAGAAAATTAGAGATCGTTCTAGGGAGAATTGATCTCTCTTAAAATGGGTTCAGTTCTGATATAACTAATCCCATCTCTTTTACTTTTCTTAGACAGTAAAGATTGATTGGGGTCTGTGTCAGCAGGCTGTGATGAAGCCGTTGTATATAGATAATAGAAGTGTAGATCCCTGAAAGAATCAATGAATTGAAACTAGAAAATGAACTGTACATATAATAGTGTATTTGTCCCAGCTGATACAGGGGAGAAAGATCTTTAACAGCATTTGGTTGGTGGTATTTGAAGACAAAATAATTTCTTTAAAACTCATAATGGACTTCTCCCCACCAGTGAGATCATATTTTTCTTAGTAAAGAGGGATGTGACCATGCATGACCAACTAGATGCATATTGTTCAGCTTATGTTGTAGGAAATAAATGTATAGGATATAGCAAGAGGCTTAATTTCAATTAATTTCTAACGTGCATTTTAAACAAAACCTGTTCTTCTGTAATCATGTCTCTTAGTTGGCAGTTAAACACATTTATAATATCCTATAATAAGAACTGCCCTTCATGCTGAGTGTATGTTATTGTAAGACCTTGAACTGGCTTCTGAATCATGAGAGATTACTAAATGACTAGAAATTACTTTGCTTATTTTAATACCACTGTATTACTTGAGTATTGCTGTATTCTGGTTCTTCAAATCATGGTGGCACTGTATGTTATGTGATAGCTTTCATTAACTTCTGTACTTTATTAACTAGAAAACATTTCCAATTATTCTCAGCATTATAAGTAGAAAACCACATTCAAAAGAAAGTATTGAAGTTTTTGAGAAATGGGCATATATTAACAGAATCACTAAGTTCAATTTTATCTAGAGTATTTATAAAGGTGTCATTTAAATATCCATCAGCTGTAACAGAGTTCTAGACTGAAATGCTTTATTATATTTTATTATTGTAAATGTGACATTTTTCCTATTCATATATTTTTTTGTATTTTAAAAATTTACATATTATAAAAACATGATTATTTATTCTAAAACTTAGGAAAATTTGAAAGGGCTTATGATTTTGCTGATTATTTCTCATGTTTGAGCTTTGTGGTCATAATGTCTGATCCAATGTGACTTTAGTACCTTGGACATCATCTTTAAAAACAAATAGACACCCCAACCCTTCATTTTTAATTCTTAAAAAGTTGGGTTTTTTTCCTTTTCTGAAAAATGTACTTGTTTATATATTTAAACTGATGCTTTTTGACTAGTTATACTTGATAAAATAAAAATTGGGAATTATCCCATTATTTTCTTTTCTCAATGAATTTCTCTTATTGACAGTTTTTTTTCTTTTGGTTTTAATAGAACATTCAAATAAAAACTTTGGCAGATGATGTGGTAAGGTGGTATTAGTAGCATGTTGTTACATTACTCATGTGTGTTGCCTTTTTACTAAAGTGAGTGGACATTAAAGCATTGATATGCAAAAGATATAGAATGTTTGGATATTTACAAAGTACAGTAGAATGGAAGAATTTTCAATAGAGACACCTCTTTGTTTGAATAGTAACATAAACAATGATATAAAATCTCAACAAAATTTCAATATTATCATCTTGATATACAAGGTCTGTCCAGAAAGTATCCATCCATCTAATATGAAAAATAGATACATTTCTTAAAGAAGATATACGATACAAGAAACATTGAACATAGGACAATGATGCCACAGTCCTCTTCAAAGTAGGCATCTTGAGACCTCACATAGTTCTCCCAATTGCTACAAGCTGCCCTGTCATATTTTTCTGAATCTCATTGATGGTGTGAAATCTCTTCCCTTTCAAAGGTCATTTTATTTTTGGGAACAGTCAGAATTCCCATGGCACCAAATCTGGGCTGTAGAGGGGCTGAGTCACCTGGGTGATTTGATGTTTCACCAGAAAACTCTGCAGGAGATGTGATGCAGGCACGTTGTTGTGACGAAGCTGCCAATCACCAGTTGCTTATAGCGGTGGCCTTCTGAGGACTTCTGAATCATCCAGATAGTTTTTGCAGAGGAATATTGAAGCTTCATGCAAAATTCGGTGTAGTTTCATTGCTCTATACCCTCAGTCATTTTTAATGTGATGGCCACACAGTACACAGGCTTACCCCATGACGTCTACTGCTCCCACTTACTAGTACAGTGAAGTCATCATTGTTCACACATGTACATTCCAGTCCACTCTCCTTGGCTGCCAGGTTACATTGATGTCGTGTAAACCATTCTCATCATATTAATAATGGTTGAACTTTTCCGAGACAGACCTTGTATACTTTAGCCAAATTTGTTTTATTGCTCTGTAAATATCACTCTGGAAATCCTTTTTACTTTCTACCCAAGTAAATTGACTGTGCATATATTAACTACTAATGTGAATATTGGAAGAAATTAATGTACAATAGAAAGGAAATTAAGTTAATTATCCTTAATTAACTTTTGGAGCTGAATCTATCATAGTGAAACTTTAAAAGTTATGGTGAAGTTACCTATCCACAAACAATGTTAAATATTGTTAGTGGTTTAAGGAGGTGAAAATATGTGGCTTAGCTTTATTTCCTTATCAAGATCCAGCTGAAAGCAAAAGCCAATTTTCTATATAGAAATAAAGTGCATAGTGGATGATCAAATATGTATGTAAATAATGCAACTCAGTAGAAAAACCAGCACTGAAAAGTTAAATATTAAGTGATATGACAGGACAGGAACAGTTGATTTAATGGTTTATTGCATATTTAAATGCTTTTATGTCCATGTCTTTTAGTTAAGTTTGACTGTTGGATATGTATTCAGCTTATTTGGGATTGCTTAATATTTTTTTTGCTGGAGGTGTTTGAAGATATACTACATATCAAAACCAATTTAATTCTCAAAGAATTAAAAGGAAATTTGAAAACAGTTGAAGATGATTAAAAGAAATGAGTCCTAATGTGAACACTGGAATAGGAACCAGGGACTCATGAATTTAGTGAGTCACTTTTGCTGTGAAATGAGAGAGTTGGTCTAGATGATTTTTCAAGTTTCTTTCCAGCTCTAAAATATTATTATTTATATAATCTCTTTGTAAGTAAGCATGTACTAAAATCATTTTTGTAATCCTAAATAAGCTGCTTAAAACTGCTCATATTTCTTTCAAAATATACCTTTTAATAAAAAATGTTGTTTGAATCAAAATGAAAAATATGTTTTTTAATGGGATCAACAGAAATTTACATAAGTTGTGGTAATAATTTCTGATGCTTTTTGTATTGTTGAAGTAATTTATAAGGCTCAGTTATGTGTCAGTGAAGATGTGCTGTCCTTGCATGTAATGCATGTCTGCTTATTTAACATGAGCTGACAGTGCGCATGTGTTTCCTAACAGAAACCAGAATAAAACTGGGTTGCATTCAGTTTTATAGTAATTGCTAATTTTTTATGTCTATTGTTTTGTGGTCTAAAACAGAATGGCCTGTTTAGATGCAGCTGGAGTTGTTAACCCATTTCCTGTGAAATAACATGCTTATTATTAGAGATTGTACATGGGATCAATGGTTCAGAGTCAATATCCATGAAGTAGCAAGTTCTTCATAATAGTGTTTGTAAGATCAAGATATTTCTGTTTGTGTTGTGTATTCAGCAAATGGAAAAGGTGATGTCTTGTTAGTCCCACTTTTTAGGGAAGAAGGGAGGAGAAGTAATACTAGTATTAAGAACAATAATAATAAATAGCAGCTAAGTACACTAAACATATCAATTTATTTAAATCTCATAATAATCCTATGGTGTGGGTACTATCGTTATTTTTTATGTAACATACATTAAGTCATTATTGCTATTTTACAGATGAGGAAGCAGGGAGACCAACTGGTATTCACAGGCTAACTGAGCTAGCGAAAGGCAGATTCATACCTAGGTAGTCTGGCTTCAGGGTCTGTGCTCTTATCCATTGCATCTACTGCTGCACTGACAGAGTATTCACAGATACTTGTCATAGCTTTTGGCACTTTGAGGAAAGGAAGCATTACTATAATTTCCCCTTAGAATTGGATATTGGAAGCTCTTTTTCTTTCTCTTTTTCTCATGGTTTGAAAGTTGCCAACAAATACACATTCTTTTGGAAACTACCACATTACTTTGATGCAGGACTTTTGTTTACCTGCTTCCTGTGCAAAAACTAGTGAGAAAGGACTAAATTTTAATTTTTGAGGAATATTTTCCACCCCCCAGACTGCTGAGGCTGAAGAGCTACTTAAGGGTTTCAAAATAGTACAATCTCTAACTACAGCTTGCTGCTTAAAATAATACCATACTAAGTGTCATTTTGATTTTTCAGTTCTTCATGTTTGCAATTCTTGATTTCTTTTTTCAGCTTATTTGCTTATTTTTTTTCTCTTTGCAGCGTGACCGAATTACAAGTTTCAGGAAATCTACTGTCAAAAAAGAGAAACATCTTATTCAACATCCTATTGATTCTCAAGTTGCAATGAGTGAATTTCCAGCACCTCAGCCATTATACGATGAACGATCTTTAAATTTGTCAGAAAAGGAAGTACTGGATCTCTTTGAAAAAATGATGGTAAGGTTGATCCCTAATTTTGTTGTAATTTTAAAATGTGTGGCCAAGAATAACACTGGGTTTTAAGTAGGTATCTTGTACGCACTGTGTTTATAATCACATAAAGGAGAGACTATAAACTTGTTGATACAGTAGGGCTATTTTCAAAAGTATCTTTTTTGAGTGAAACATTCATACTTACTTCTTACAGTATGAGCTCCTAAAAACAGGGGCTGTGTTATTTACTTTTATTTTCCAATAATTTGTAGGCTCTGGCACATCAAATCAATCTTTCAGTTAACTAGATTGTATTCCTGTTTCTAGAAAGCATAATAGGACTGAGTTCTCTTTGCTGCACAAGGTATCTTGCTGGGTGTATGAAATAGAGTTGGGAGGAAAGAAGGTATAAAAGCAGTAATGGGAGCAAAGGAATTAATTCCTTCAAGTTTGTTCTATAGCAGCATTCACACAACCAATATTTCCTAGCATGTTGCTTATATTTTATAGCTTGTGGTCTAGATTATTTCTTATAATAGATAGTAGATATAGTATTTTGAGTATTCAATAGTTTGATAGGAGAGGGGAGGGATGAGGATTTGGGCCATGTTACACTGGTTTACTTGACCAGAAAACAAGTGGAGATCCTTACTCATGATTCATTCATTTGTAATTCTATCCCACTTAGATTGTAAAATTTTTTGGTAGACTTCTACTTATCTGGTGTTAGAGTTCACATGAGTTTCTACAGTTCTTTCACTCGCACCAAAATTAAAAGTTAAGAATCACTGAAAATCTAGATCCTTCTATCCTGCTTATTATGGTGGTAAGAAGCTTGTCACCACCCTTCTCCCCACCCCCACTGTTTCCCTCCTGTGCCTAGAAGAAGAGGTAACAGGCCTTCAATAAATATCAGTTGAAAGTTGTTGAATGAATACAAAGTAATTCCCTTCATCTTTGAACTTTTCCTAGACTGTTCCTCTTGTCTAGCCACAGCTGGCCTCTGGCTTGTCCCCTGACACAAGTCCTGACATTCCTACCCTCTTCAGCTCTTCCTCTTCATCCTGTGGTCCACCCTTGTACACTCTTTTTGCTGCTGCTTCTTCCATGCTAGTTTGAACCATCTTTCAGCAGCCCTTTCTCTTGTGAAGTCTATTATCTGCTGACATTCCTTGATAAAAGCCCCTGGTAATCCTTTAGACTTTTCCTTTTCTATTCAGTTTGGTGATTTCAACTATGATATTGATAACCCATGCTTTTTTGCTCTTAGTTCCTTGGTTTCCTAAACTCTGACCTATGCATCTATGTATTTAGCTAGTTATTGGCATGAATACACCTTCAACTGTGTCATTCTTGGGAATGACTTTACCCATAGAAGATTTTTAACTCTGAAATTCTCCTCAGAAGCTAAATAACCTATGCTACCTCTCCCAGGCTCCTAATTTTACAAAGCATGTATTGTGTAGTGGTTATGAGCATGGACTTGGGGTCATTCTGACTTGGATTTGACTTCTGGCTCTGCCAATAATCGCATTACCTCTGAAAGGTTATATAAACTTCTCTACAGTTTATTTTCCTTAACTGTAACAAAGGTATAAAAGGATCTACCTCATATGGTTATCTTTAGGATTAAAAGAGATGATATTTCTAGAATAGTGCCTGGCATAGAAACTTTCTGTATAAATAACTATATAAATGTGTGTTACATTCCATTTCTGTATCAAATAGTTTTGTTCTTTCATCAGTTACAATATTTCTAGATCATCTAGTTTGCCCCTCAGTTTACCACTTGGTTGCCTTATCTTAATCACCTAAAACAATGATGATAACAATAGAAACAAGGATATTCCTTGATACTATTAACACTTTTAACCTTTTAACATTTTCTTTTTTCACTCAAACCTCACTTAAATTATACTTACTGCCTTAATCTGCCAATTGGTTGCCAATTTTTACTGTATTGAAATAGTTCTTTGAGCTTATTGGGGGCACTGCACTACTCCAGCTTGCTTAAGCTTGACACTTCTAGGCCATCTTCCACTCCATTGGTGTTCTCAGTCACTTCTATTGCTTGCCAAATCCCATTGGCTCTGCTTTTGCAATGACTCTTACATCTGTTTCCTCAAATGTCTTCCATATGCTCTTGTCCTAGTATGGGTCTCTAGTTGTTTCTGGTAGGCTACTAAAATAGTCTCCTAATGGGTCTTCCTCCTGTCCTTCAGGTTTTGTCTATTCTACTCAACAAATTCCCTAATAATGATTTTTAAAACATTGCTTTTCCAAAGCCCCAAGTAGGCCCTGATGTTTTCAGACAATTATTTTATATGTCCCAACTCTAGTCCCTCAACTAGAGTCCTAAGTAAGTATTTCACACCTTTAGTTTGATGTTGAATCCTCACAACTCTTACCTATCTTTTTACTTTGATGATGACCTTGCTGCTTAATTTACTGAGTAAACTGAAACAATCAGAAGAGAACCTCTACTACCATATGTATCTACCTAACTTTTAGTGTCTATACTCACATAGTTTGTCTTGCTACCTGTCACCATAGGTGAACTTTTTAGGTTTCAAATCCTTCCATTGGTGTACAGTTTCTATTCCTTTTCAGCTATTCAGGGACATTGCTCCAATATTTTTTCTCCTCTCATCTCTTACATTCCCAGCAGCATACAAACCTGTCTCATTTTATAAAACCTTTTTTGACCTTATCTCCCTTGCCAGCTACTGCTCTGTTTTTACTCTCCTTTGAAGCAAAACACCTCCCCTAATTTTGTTTATATTGATTGCTTCTGATTTCTCTCCTCTCACTTTCTCTCCTAAACTCCCTCCAGCCCAGATCCATCTCATTATGCCATCAAATTTGTTATTTGTGTCACCAAAGATCTTCATGCTGCTGATTCCCATGAAATCAGTTCTAAGTTCTCATCTTAATTGACTTACTGGCAGCATTTGATGCAGTTGATCATTCTCTCCAATTTGAAATTCTTCCCCCCTCCATCCCCCAACGTTGATTTGGTTTTCCTCCTATTCTTTGGGATGCTTGACAAGAAAGAAGTCACCTTAACAGTGCTGATACAATGTATTATTTGGGCTTTTGGGTAATGATATATTGTGGTGAAAGTTTAAATAATGTGAAAGGCAATATTCAAATACAATCTTATCTTACTCTGATAATTGAAACTCTTGTTATGCCTGAGGATCACAGCTATTAACAGCAGTTCTCATTGTACAGGCTCATAGATATAGATAATAGGTGATATTGATCTAAAACTTTAATTACTGTTGGATGTTCTTTTAAAGTATTAACTTTTATTTGATTATTATAACTCCTATTTAATTAATAATACTCTAAAAAATCACTTGGCTCTTCATAGCTAAATAAAATCCTGGAATGGGTCCAGTTAATTAAAAGATCTCAGTGGTTAGGTTTTACTTTACTAGCGTATTAGTAGATTATTAATGTTTCATTGACTCTGCCATCTATTCCATGCATTGGTATGTCATTTTTCATATTGTAAACATTCCATGACACAATAATAGATGTTTTGAGTAATGGTATCAGTGACTATTGATGACAGATTTAAAGCTTCAAATTTGAAACTTTTAGGTGATTGCTTATTTTTTTAGAGCACAAGCTATTTATTAGCAGTGTGTCTTCAATAGTTTGTAAAACTTAATTTTGTACTTAGGGTATGGTTGCTGACTATTAATTGAAAATTAGGAAATGGTTCTCTGATAAATACTTTCAATAATAAAAACAGACACTTGCTTTTACATGATTTTTATAATGCCCTTCATGGGGTAAATTATAATTGCTCTTTAAGATTCCTGCTCCCCTGCTCACCCAGAGTGATGTTTTCAAATCTTACACAAGCGGGTAAAGGTAGTAGGACCAAAATAACAATAATTGCTTCAACATTTTGGGGGGATAACTTAAAAGGATTACTGCACTATGTAGTAGTATTGCATGTCATCTTTAACCCCCAATTCAAAGTTGAATAAGATCCATATCAGTAGCCTTTCTCATGGTAATCAAAGGCATTTTGAATGGACTGTGAGTGGGGTTGGTGAAATATCTCCTCCCTGCCTCTTTACATATAAGAAAAATATTAAAAATGCTATAATTGCATAACTTTTCCACATTTTAAGTTTACTGAGACTAACTAAACTGGTTTTTATCCATTGAGTATAGTGCTGAAGGACTATTAAATGTTTAATAATCATAACTTATTTTTATCCAAATTGAATTAATGCAGTTAGAACACGGAGAAAAATGTGTCTTAACATTTGTATTTATTTTTGATTAATATTGCTGTTTCATATTCAGTTGCCCTTTTTGAGGGATGGATGGTAGGGGATATCCAGTTAAAGTTTAAAAAAACATATAGAGACTTCAGGTTGTAATTAAATTCCTGTTAGCTAGCATAAGGATCTACTGAGTGGAGGTCCAGCTTACACTGGTAACATTGGATTCATATAAATATGGCAATAAGGACTGTGTTCTAATACAGGTAATTAAATAGTTGGGTTACATGCAAAAGATGAGCCTAGTGATGATTTATGATTAATTTCTAGGCATACTTCATTTCAGCTTCATTTACTATTGACAATGTTTGATATATTACTCCATGTGCAAATTTGATGTTTTATACTTTGTTTCTATTCAGCGATTTATATTAATGTATTTTGCATTTTTGGCATAAATTAATAAGAATGTAGTTATATACAACAAATGCTAAGCTCTCTATCCAGTCTTACACCTGATAGAACTCTGATAAACAAATTCCAAAGCTTTTAATTTGTTCTTTCACTTTTGCCTTTCATTTGTTAAGAGACTAACTTTCAGCCTCATGTGTTGTACTTTAGCCCAAGTATACTTATTCACCTTTGATTGCTATCATGGATTTCTTTCTTACCCAACACCAATTTCTTAGGAGTTGGTTAGCTTGGATGATAACCTTTTAGTGCTCTCAACATAAGTAATTTTAATTAATGATTAGGTTATGATAAAACAAATTATTG